TGTTATAATATACATTCTATATTTAGAAACTCAAAAATAATTTAAATAAATAATTTTTTTTTATATTTACCATTATTTACCTCTTTGGACGTAATATAGAGAAGACACGAAACATAGAGAAGACTCGAAACAAGGCACGTTTAGTGACGTAAATTGTGCTGCCCTCAACATGTGCAATGTCACAAGGTCAATGTAAAAAATTTGATACTCTCTCTATTTCATATTAAGTGATGCTTAAGTAAAAAATTTGTTTAATTTTAAATGATGTTTTCAAATGTCAATGTAAAATTAATTGTATTTATATATTTTTGGTTATTATTTGTATTCTGTATATTGATTTACAACTAATTTAAATATTTAGAAATAGTTAAATAATTTTCATAATATATGTGTAAAAATCTTAAATGATATAATTTAAAATAGAACATATAAAGTGTGTATTAATTATTAACTAGATCTATATTATCTATAAATAATTTTTCAACATTATTAAAAAAATTCTAACATAATTTTTATACGAAAATCCGCGTAAGATAACTTTAATCGGCAAATGAAGTGGTTTATACACTGACATGTTTTTCTGTGTAGATATAGACAACTCTTTTAATTTAAAAACTAAATTTTTTTGACCCGCGTTAAACACGGGATTAGAATATTTTAAAAAAAAATTCATGATTTTTATAATACGAAAAAAATTAGAAATAACAAAGATGAAATGATACATTTTCCATATAAATAAATATGTTTTATCTTACAAAATTTAATTTGCATGATACATAGATGGAATGTATGTATTTTTATGTAAATTGAATCTGTTTGAGATTATCGGTTCTCTCAAACTTATTTTAGTTCACTAAAACAAAAAAAATGGCATTAATATGTAAAACTTTTTCAAATAAAAAATCAAAGAAATAATAAAAAAGTTAAGATGATGATGTTTCGAAATTCAAACATTAACGTTTGATTTGTAAAGTTGTATGTTTATAAAAAAGATAACATTATTAGAGTAATATGGACACATTTACATGATATAAAATAAAATAGTTGAATGATCAATTACATATGGTATCTAAATAGACATTAATACAATCTTTGTAAAGTAATTGACATTGGTGAATAATTTATCGTTAAAACATTATATTATATAAACATTTTAAAATATCAAAATATTACATTTAGTTGGGCTTAAATTTGTAAACCATGTATTAATGGAGTTTTGTTATTAAATTAATAATATATAGAGAATTCCACCATGGCATATAATTTTAATTGAAATATTTTGATTGGTTAAATTTAATGATATGTTCCTTAAAATCCTCATTGAGTGACATATATGTTTTTTTCATTTAGTGTCTCCTCAATTAATATATAAAGGATTTCAAACAGAAAACG